ACACACACTGACCTACGTAGAGCTCGTCTCAATACCACCAGTTCCCGACGGTGACTATGTTCTCATCCCTACACCGATGTCCTCATAAACCGTGGCATTACATTACCGCACTTTATTTTGCCCATCGCAGGAAATTCCACGTGTCTCCGAGTTGTCAACTTTAGCTTGACACCTCAAGTGCTGCCACAAGGGATATCTTTGGCGTCACTCTGCACTTTAGAAGACAATGTGGTAGATGTTTTTACGATGGCCGCTCCTTCTGACCACCACACTCGACATCAATCTCACACTTGCTCCGCTAGCGCTATTACGTCGATGATCGCTTCCAACTTAACGCCACAGCAGACTGTCGAGCTCCAACGGGTTCTGCTCTCCAAGCTCTCCAACATCGACGTTTTTGACCTCAGCGGCCGCCCGTTGGGGAAAGATACTGGTATAAGCCACCGCATAAACACTGGTATTGAGCATTCTATTCACAGGCGTCCATATCTGGTGTCGGCGGCCGAGCGTCACATTATCTAAAAGTGAGGTCAATAAAATGCTCGCCAAGGACATCATTAAGCCATCCTGCAGTCCTTGGGCTTCTCCTGTAGTCCTAGTCCACAAAAAAGACGGTACATGGCGTTTCTGCGTTGATTATTGACACCTTAACAAAGTTATCAAAAAAGACGTGTACCCCCTGCCACGAATAGATGATGCGCTTGATTGCCTCTAGGGTCCCACTATTTTTCCTCCATAGACCTTCGTTCCGGCTACTGGCAGATAGAGGTAGATGAAATGGACCGTGAAAAGACGGCATTCATCTCCCCCGATCGCCTATATCAGTTCAAGGTAATGCCCTTCGGCCTTTGTAACGCTCCAGCCACCTTCGAACGAATGATCGACTCCCTACTCAGAGGATTCAAATGATCCACCTGTTTGTGCTGCTCAGAGGACGTCATCATCTTTTCACCAACATTTGAAACTTATATAGAGCGCCTCTCAGCATCTTAGGAATCTTCCATCGCGCTGACCTGCAGCTCAACTCGTCCAAATGTCACTTTGGACGCCATCAAATCACAGTACTGGGCCATTTAGTTTACGCCAACGGTGTATAACCAGATCCGCCGGCAAAAATCAGCGCCGTCAAAAACTTCCCTGTACCACGATCTGCGAAGGACGTACGCAGCTTTATCGGACTATGCTCCTACTTCCGACGCTTCGTGAAAAATTTCGTGCATATAGCGAGGCCGCTTACGCAGCTCCTCAAGAAAGAAGTCCCGTTTTCATGGGACTCCAAATAGGCTTCTGCGTTCTCGACTCTTGTCGTTCTTCTCACTACTCCTCCGATTCTGGCACACTTCAACCCTGCTGCCCCTACGGAAATCCGTGAAAGTGGTCATGGCATTGGTGCAGTGCTCGCTCAGAAACAATATGACCATGATTGCGTTATTGCATATGCCAGCCGCCTCCTATCCGCCCCTGAGCGTAACTATTCGATCTCAGAGCGTGATTTCTTGGCTCTTGTATGGGCGGTGGAGAAATTTCTACCTTATCTATACGGACACCCATTTTCGGTAGTCACTAACCACCACGCGCTCTGCTGGCTCAACTCTCTGAAAAATCCATCAGGCCGCCTTGGTCGCTGGGCTTTGCGCCTGCAACAGTTTTCCTATTCGGTGCTCTACAAATCTGGCCGCCTACACCATGATGCCGATTGCCTCTCCCAGTACCCTGTCGACGATCCTGAGGACACTGACGAGCCCACGGAGAACTCTATCTTGTCAGTGTTTGACTTCCTTAATTTTGGGGAAGAACACAAGCGTGATCCAGTGCTGCTTGACATCATCAGCCGTATGGAATCCTCCCCAAATTATGCTTCCGTCCAGTACTTTGTTATTCAAAAGGGTGTGCTATACTGTCGCAATTTCCGACCAGACGGGCCTGATCTTCTCATAGTTGAGCCTAAGCATTTGCACCGCTGTGTTTTCACCGAACTTCACGATGCTCCTACGGCTGGACACCTTGGCGTATCCAGCACGTACGAGCGCGTCCGGCGCCGTTTCTTCTTGCCAGGCCTTGCTCGCTCGGTACGCCGTCACGTCACCACGTGTGACCTATGCCAACGTCGTAAAACACCGTCGCTGCTACCCACTGGCCATGTTCAACTAATTGACATACCCTGAGGAACCACTTTATCATGTTGGGTTAGACCTGCTTGGTCTTTTTTCCACATCAACATTGGGAACAAATGAATAGCCGTGATTACAGAATACGCTACACGCTACGCTATTACACGAGCTCTACCGACCAGCTGTGCAACTGACGTCGCTGACTTCTTGTTACGGGACGTTATATTGATTCACGGTGCTCCGAGACAGCTTCTCACAGACCATGGCCGTACATTCCAAGTGATCGCCGACATTCAGCGTTCTTGTTCCACGCAACACACACTGACAAGCGCTTACCACCCTCAAACAAACGGCCTCACGGAACGATTTAACCGCACTTTAACAAATATGCTCGCCATGTACGTGACACCCGACCACCGAGACTTGGACCTTGCCCTACCCTACGCAACTTTCGCGTATAATTCATCCCGTCATGACACAGCGGGCTTTTCGCCGTTCTACTTATTGTACGACTTTACCCCTGGACACAGTCATCTCAGCTCACACCTCGTCCTCCAGCGAGTATGCACGCGACGCAATTGCGCGATCCTATCATACCCGTCAGCTCGCTCGCGCTCGGCTGAAGGCGTCGCAAACCAACCAATGCCGTCGGTACGATGCGAAGCAAAGAGACGCACATTTCGCTCCCGGTACCTTCATTTTACTCTGGTCCCCTCATCGTCGCCTGGGCCTATCAGAAAAACTTCTGTCTTCTTACACGGGACCCTACCGTATATTGCGTCAAGTAACATTTGTCACCTACGAGATCAGCCCCATCTATCCATCATCATCTACTATGCGGTCCAGTGATATTGTACACGTCTCGCGGATCAAGCCCTACAAGAATGTGTCAGACAACGACCTTTGAAGCACCGGGACAGTGCCTCCGCCGCCGGGGGTCATGCTACGTGCCAGTGCATGAAGTTGAAGAAGACAAAGCAGATAGACTGGCGCGAACTAATCCGGGTGGCTGGCGCTGCTCGCTTAACCAGCTGTAAATACATCGGTGACTACCCCTCCGAGTTGGTCTCCTTCTCGTAACAATATATACGGTCGCACATCATATTTAGCTTTAAGTGAAGTAATCCCAATTTTTGTTGGTGAGTGTACACTCTAAGCCAAAGTTCGGCAAAATTGGACTAACAGCAGTCGGTAAACCAATGAATAAACGGTTCGTCCAACAGGGACTAAATGCGTGACAGTGCGTGTCGTGCGCAAACGTTCGGCAATGAAGAACCAACGGGGAGGGTAACTGCACCGCGATCGCCTTCTGTCGATGCTGCACTGCATTGTTCGGCACAGTCGGCGATCATGAAAACAAGTTATATCGGCTATACGCCACTGTGAAAGCGAAGCACTACGAAGCGAAAAGAAGATGTTATGAGAGGCAAGTACAACGCGCAGTCAGTGCACACATCAAGCACCCTCGCGTCTCCACCTTGCCGGCATTGGCGGGCCGAAACGAAGTGAAAGCCTCCGCGAACATGGGCTGAGCGGATAACTCGCTTCAATGTGCTGAATTAGTTAGAACTACGAAGTACACTGACAATGCTAATAAAAGTAAGCTGTTCGTCAGTGGCCATGTACCTGCACAGTCACTGGCCACAACTTCAAAGTGGTATATAGAATAAGTAGGCTTCGTACGTCATCGGTACCAAGTTGGCTGCCGGTGTGAGTGCATCGCGGGCACACGTGGAGGAAATTGTCGCATACAATTTCTTTCGCAGAAAATATCGCCTCCATGAAAGCTCAGATAAACCTATTTCTTTTTCTCCATGCGACAATCGTTGTCAAACATCAAGCGTGAAGGTGATCGCGAATACGACTAATCGTGCGGCCAGCGGTGCACAGTGAGTGACTTACCAGCATGATGTAAGAACCGTGCCTGCGAACAGTTTCGTCGCTGTAAGTATACAGATATCTACATCACTCCATAAGACTCTGCGAACATTGTACACCTACCTATTGTTCATTCGGGAGTGTGAAAGAACGACGACGAAAATTTCACGTGAGCCACACGTTGCGATCGCCGGTGGTCGTTTAGCCGTACTCCTCGTAAGCCTAGCGATGCCGTCGGGAAGCCCACACGGTGGCATCGGCGAAGCGCTTGGCTGCTTCGTCGGCTTTCCAGCATGAGCGCCGCTGCTATGTTTTTGTTTCCGACTCGTGCACCAGCACTGCGAACGCTGGTTCAGCCTACATGATCGAATGCCAACAGATAATTCGTATTCTCTGACAGGAGGGGTGTTGAAGTATAGATGGATCCATAATAAATGATCGGGGCGCTTCAGTGCTACGAAATAGCCCACGTACATTTTCACGTTACGGTTTAATGTTTATTGTTAATGTTTATTGTTTTTAAAGCAGAGTAAAAGTCGCTCACTGGCACTACATGGAATGTCAAAATACTGTGCTATATACACCAGATAGTTCTTTCTCTGTGGTGCATCGCGGGCGGTAAATGTTTTCGGTGTTTTACGATTGAAATAATAGTGCGTATGTATGTATATGCGGATGTGTTGCATGGCCGCTGTACTCCGTTCTTCAGTGCTGATTAGATTGGAATAAACATGAAATATACTCTATAAGTCCAAGGTAGCTATTTTTTTCATTCGTTCAGATGGTTCAACTGTTAGTCCCACTGAAACATTCTACTTGGACCAACATTTAAACCAAGTGGAGTAAGCGCTATGGCGTAACAATTGAACCCTTTCAGTTGCTGTCGCAGTTAGTCCAAAATTGGTTCAAAATCTGTGGCAGCCCATTCAGTCCCCAAAAGGACCAATGGCATACCCCACTTTAGTCCTTTTCGGCTTAGAGTGTACCTACTAATGTGGCCGAATCGCAGCCATGGCCAAGAACCCCACATCACGGAGGAGCACTCCAGCTGACAAGGCCGAGAAAGCAGCGGTGGCACCTCGGCCTCTGGAGAAACTGGAGGACCATGCTGACCAGATGTGCCGTATCTGCCACGATGAGGCTGACCTGGAGAATGGGCCCCTGTTGCAACCCTGCCGCTGCAAGGGAACAATAGCGTTCGTTCACAAGTGCTGCCTCGAGGACAGCCTGCGTGTGTGGGGCGACATGTGCACAGTCTGCTGCACACGCATCGAGATGCCTTTTGAGCGAGCGGTGAGTGCTGACCAGATGCCTCTTTTTTGCTACACTCGGCGACAACTTATATTGACAGTGGAGCGAAGGCTACGGAATCGGAGCACCCGCTCATTCGCGTTGCTTCCGCGAGTAGCACAGCAACTTGCGGCTGACTTCGGCTCCTGGCTGGCATGGGTAACTTCTTCCGGAAATTATAATAATAATGGTAGATTCTTTCGGACATAGTTACATACAGCATGAAACATATCCACGAGGTAAGGCAAAAGGAGACTCCTACGTCTCCTGACGAGGCCTTACCACGGACTAAGACGTGGGACATCCAGGAGCAAAACCAGAGAAAATCAGTACAATACTAAAAAAACAAGTACAGAGAAACCAGAAAAGAAATAAAGTACTATACTCTTTGCACAGATTGTATAAACCAAAATGAACAGTAAAAACACATTAAGACAAATTTTTCAAAGTTTGCATTGTTTGCGTTCAACAACTATTCAAAGTTATGCAAATATACAAAACTACATAATTTTCACGTTCAATGAAAAGAAATTGTATATTCTGAGGAGGCAGGAACAGTTGCTTGTCTTATTTAAACATGACGTACTGGAGTTTTGATTGACCAATTCGAATAAGGACGGGTATGCGTTTCACATACATAAAAATGTGAATCGAAGAAGCATTTAAATTCTTTCGTGTCAATTTATTGTCGTATTGCGAGCATATATATCGTTTTCATACCTTAACAGTGCGTTTGCGGCCACACATACACGCACTACAACATGGGCGCCATGCTTCTTAGGAAAAGAAGGCGTGCTGAAAAGGTTGTGCTGTCAGAAGAAATGTAAGAAAATGAAGGCATTCCTTGCAAAGGAAAAGCACTTGTATCTTACCTACTACTTTCGGGTAACTGTTTGTGTCTTATAATAACTAAAGCCGCAATCAATTGAGCCATGGCAATGAGAAAATTAGCTGTAAAGTACTATGTTTTAGTGAGGTAGGATGCATGCGCTTCAATGTTGTATAGCTTCCATGGTGTTTTCAAGAAAAATTGTCGCCAGGTAAAGGAAAATTTGCGACCAGGAAAATTCATACAGAGACTGCAAGGAGGCATGATAGCCAGTCATGGTGCATCAGAGGTACCTAACATAAGTAGTGTCCCGTCGCAGGTGTTGTAAAGGGTAGGAAGTTCTCGATGATGGCATCCCACCACTGCCACCAGTTGTTAAGAGCTCGAGGTCGATGGCAGGTACGGCGACGGGTATTTTTAGGGTAGATGAATATTCAAGGCCAGTGCATTATGCAAGGCTTTAACAGGTCTTGTAAAGATGCAAGGGATGCTGCGTCGCTTCGTTCTCTAAATATGTGAAGGTATATTTTAGCGTAACAATGAACAGAGCGGGACACCTATAGCGGACACTGCGCGCACTTGACACAGTTGTGAGCAAAACAGTTTCGTCATCTGAAGGGCAAACCTTTCGTTTTCCATCTGAAAAGTGGGGTGTGCACATTTAAATAAAGGCGATGGCTGATTAATCTTTCCCAGGACGCGGTAATAACATAAACTTAAATACTTGTTCTCACAAAAATACTTCAATATTTGTTCGAACTTAAGAAATATAGCGTTTACTGCGTGAATTCCACGGTTTTCGTGTTCATACCGCAATCGGTATCTCAAATGGCGTCACACTGGCCGATGGCATAACCGAAAGTATTGCGCACGCTACAATTCAGCGTGCAACGTTTCTAAAGAGCACGTATCGCCAGATCCGGTTGCGAATTACTGTAAATGAGATGTTCGAGCGTGAACGCTAACATCATGACATGTAGCGAAGCCTCTGATACCTATGCTCAATAGAAATGAAACCATTTCTGATGTTACTGTCCACAGAAATCGCGCGAAGTTCAGCACGCCGAGATACTCATAGCTCAACTCGCATCGAAATAGCAAGTCGCTATGTTACCGAATTTCCGTTGTTTTACAGCCCATTTCTTCACTGCGGCACGTGGAGAATGACTGCTTCATTGGCTACACGCTATGGCAGTCTTTTCTGGATTCGTGTGCTACTTCTGCCGCTCCCACGAAAGTTATTTTAGCTTCTGCAACTGTACTTATTACCGGGAAATGCCAAGAAATATTTTCCCAAATACTACTTACATTGCGTTGTGCGAAACTGAACTATTATCCGACAAGTGGTTTTTACATCTGCGTCGTGCTCTTAATACAGAAAAAAAAGAAACTTGGCGGATTTTTATATAATAGATATCGGTAAAACACGGAAGGGAAACGTGTCTTCGCATAGTGGAACGTGTCTTCGCATGAGTTGTCAGGTATTTATTGTGCATAACAATACTATATAAACCAATTGTAATTTCAAGCCAAAACCGGAAGGCAGCTCGAAACTTGCAGCTCTCGTCTCAAGAAAAAAGGCCGTGCGAAACGAAAATACACGAGGATGAGCACACAATAAAACGTTCACAGCTCGACACTTAAACCGTGCGGCATGCTCTAACAAAAAGAAGCACCCGTGAAGCGAGCGCGCAACTATACACAGGACGAGCGTGAACTATCAATAATAGAAGAATTCTGCATGTTTTCAACTAGTAAGCAGTGGTTCACTAGTAAGCACTGACGATACTTTTGGTGCAAATAGAACAAGGACACAAAACATAAATTTGTTATGTGTGTCCTCGTTTAATTTGCGCCCAATGTTTCATCAGTTATCATAATAATATCTGGAGTTTAACTTTCCAAAACTACGGAATCATCTTGAGAGACACCGTAGTAGAAGGTTCCGGGAATTTCGATCACCGGGGGTGCTTTAACCTGCACCTAAGATAAATGCATGGGGAGTGCGAACCTAGCAACTGCCGCAGTTGCTTGTTTCTGAGCAGCATGCATCTTTCACACACGTGGCCGCTGCGGAGAGTGAAGTGACCTTCGTGCTTCCTGCATTCTCAATGACAACACAAGGCGGCAAATCTCCGCTACTACGAGATATGGGCGCGCTCATCGCAGCGCGGGAAGTGAGGACCTTTTAAAGCGCACCCCCGCGCCCGTCACGCTATCTCGTTAGTCATAACGAGGACACGCTGAAGTCGCTGAGCTCTGAGCCTTGCTGAAATAAAGGCTGTATATAAATAGCTCGCCATTAGTATACCACGTAAAACGTGTGGTTTTTGGCCGAGTCGTTTTGCGCCGCATGCTACGGAGCGAGAGGTCGCACGTTCGATTCCCGACAGTGGAACTTTTTCTTGTTTTTCCTATGCCATCTGTTAGTGTATACTTTGCAACGTCACATGCGTGACAAAAACACGTCAGTGAAACTGTGGTGAACTCTGGTATAAAATACTTTCGAGTTAAAAATAGCGGTGTGTCATGCATGAGTAACTTTGATGCAGACGTGGACTTCTCGTTTCAGCTTGCAATAAACGGCTTACTGTACATTGTTTACTGAGACATAATTCGGAGATCCGAATCATACAGCTTCCCTGCGACAAGTGTCGTGACTTCTCTGCTAAGCGCAATCATACGATGTGTGTAGCAACCGGATGCGCAACACGGTTCTGACATAAACACTGCTTATTTCCAAGGATATGCACTTTACAATTGAAATGAATAATTGTGACAAAAATTAGCCATGAGTTCGCCTAGTGCATGTTTTGGTGCATGATTGTAAAGGTCCGCCTATAAGCCTATATACAGCAACGCACTTACGTTGTTTACTTCTAAATTATGCAGTCATGTGTATAGCTTACGTGTAGTAAGTGTTTTGTCCTTACTGCAGCCACTCTGGCGTTCCTTCCGCGACTTCGTCAACTGGGAAGAAATGCTGTGCTTTACCACTGAATGCTTCGTGATGGCAATTGCGATGCTCTTTTTGGCCATCGTCGTGGGTGCGCCAGGCTGGATCGCCGTTATGCTTGTCTTCGCCGTACTCTTCCTCATCCTCTCGACCTGCAGTATGATCATCGCTGCAGATAAATGACTTAGGTAAGTGAGATACACGACTATTATCGGATATTCACAATAAATTGCAGACAGCAGGTAATGATTGATTGATTTGTGGGGTTTAACGTCCCAAAACCACCATATGATTATGGGAGACGCCGTAGTGGAGGGCTCCGGAAATTTCGACCACCTGGGGTTCTTTAACGTGCGCCCAAATCTGAGCACACGGGCCTACAACATTTCCGCCTCCATCGGAAATGCAGCCGCCGCAGCCGGGAATCGAACCCGCGACCTGCGGGTCAGCAGCCGAGTACCTTAGCCACTAGACCACCGCGGCGGGGCAGACAGCAGGTAACGAGCAATGCCTCTTTAAAAAAAAAGACACGGCGTCCAAATGCAGATACAAGAAGGAAGTCAGGGCACAAATGGTTTTCTTATTGCGTCCTTCTTTGCCCGCCTTGTCCTATAAAAATGAACACATAAGAACTGGCTCAGCTATTTCTTATTCTTGTGTTGCTGGAGGCCACCTTTTTATAATGCATTATGAGTAATAGCGGAACTTGTTCTGTTGTCATGTACATTTTTAGCTCTTTGAGCACCCAACAAACCTAACAAACTGATGATAGAGCTGACGAATATGTGCGTTGAAGGATGTATTCTGCTCATTTCTACCTTTTTGTTGATATATCTTAAAGCTTTGCATGTAGTGCCTGTGGTATGCTTGTTAGAAGGGTGAAGCCTCACATTGTTTTAGACAGCCTTGCACCGACTGTTAGTATGCTTCAAGCATTAGCTCGTTGTTTCAGTAGCAGGCATCACTCATAGTAAGTTCACGCTTTCGAAAGGCAATGTACTTTTGACACAATGTGGGTCGGAGTAATTATAGATATTATGATATGCCTTCTGAGGCTGCTAAATTTCAACTTCATGTGAGAGGTTTTCTACGAGCGTGCCGTAAAAATGGTTGTAGTTCAGTAGTCGGCACGGCTTACACTCGGCAGTTTCTATGGAGTTTACCTCAATGACTCCTCGATGTTCTTCAAAATGGGCATAACAACGTTCCCTAAGGCTGTGGCACCAAGACTGCAATCGTTAAGCATTGTTTTGATCATGAAAGTGTCTTATGCCGGGCCCACCACAACTCCGTGACGTGTTTGCGTCACGGATATGACGTTGTGATATATTACTAACAGACTGCAAAGAAAAAAAGTTGGCAGATCCCACGTACCTAGGAATCGACATTATGCGGATCATGCGGAGGGAAGATGAACGTGTTGCAGATTTTTTATTGAGCGACACGTCATGAAATAACGCTAAATATATGTGCTAATGTTATACGTACAGGCAAACGATGAAAAGTGCCAGATGTTTAAATAGCCAAGGCATACGATTCTCCCCTTCTCGCCACCGCGAGATAAGGATGCGCGAGGGAGCGTCGCTCTCCTTCTCTGAACTGGAGAAAGTACGCGTATGAGATTAGAGCAGGCGCACTGCGCGATGTGGTGACGTGCGCTCATTGCGCCATCTTTCTGGTAATGCAGAAAACACAGTAACGATGAGTGGTAGATATAAATAGCTTGCCGTTTGATTGGTGAAGAACGTTTTCCAGGGTGGCCCAGTGGTTAACGCCTCGCTTTCACGACGCCCAAGCTCCATGTTCGATTATACCCGCCAGAGGGTTTTTTTTCTGGATTTTTTTTCTTTTTCGCGTTTTCATATATAGCAATACGTATGCATATACGGTGCGTGACATCGACACCGTCGTCGATGCCTATGCCGGCGGCAAAATTCAGCTGAGAGTGACTATATAATTGCTGTCGCAATATTAACCAGTTGTTTTCACTTGTGCAATGATGTCAACTGGAACATGCGTATTAGCAACACCAGAAGTCGATATGAAGCACTGATGCTCGCGAGTATGCTGGCCCTGGAAACTGCTACATAACTCGACTTCAGCACATGGTCAACCACAATTGACGTTAACTAACCACAATTGACGTTAACCCAACGTGACGGCTGTATCAAAGGAGTACAAATGTAATGTTTATAAAATTGGGTGAGCAGCACTGCAACCACTACTGACGTTTCATGAAGATTAGCGTCTGTTTGAAAAGTAGTTGCGAGACCCGGCTTAGCTCTGTGGTAAAATGCTTGAGTGTCATGCACAATGCTTGGGTTGGATTTCTCCTGGGACCTGACGTTTATTCTTTGCATTCGTCGAGTCGACGCTACCAATTTCGGGTGTTTCTTAATGCTCGCGCGTTAAAATTGCCCATGCGTGCTCTCGTCGTTCCTGGGTCGATACTAAATGACTATCACTTGTGACACATATCCGCATACCAGCGGCACATACTCGCCCGTGGGTATGTGCCACTGTCTGGCGGGAAGAGTTTGACGTTGTGCGCAACGGGATTGCAAAAGCATTTATGTCTTGACCAACGCGTCATATTCCTCAAACCATCTTACTCTCAAATGCTGATTTTGTTCACGCCAAAATAAGGACGTGACCACAAGAACACCCAAACGAAAGCGGCCAGATAGATATATAGATAGATAGATACGCTGAAAGTCACCGATGTTCACTAAGAATGCTTCGCATTTAGAAAAACGATAACGAAAGTTTCCGCACCAGGGTGCCGATTCAGCAACCTCGCGCTCCTGAGCACGCGACGCTAACCACTAAGTTACCCATGGTGCCTTCTCCACCGTGCTGTCGGCAAGCCATTTATATACACCATGCTCCGCTGGCGGTCCTCAGAGCTCAGCATTTCAGCTCATTTTGTTCATCAGTAGCGATATGGCATGACGTGCGCTTGTTGTGTGCGCGCGCTCTAAAGGTAGTTTTGCCTCGCCACCCCGTGCGTTGACGTGCTCGCGTGCCTCCACGTGGCGTGGTCAAAGAGTGTATTGCTGTTATCAAGCACTGTGGCTTGCAGGTGTGGGCGCTTATTTTGGGATTAGGGTGTTCTGTACCTCCTGTGCCTCCACCGCAAGTTTGCTTTGAAGTTACAGTACATAAAAAGAGCAAGAAAGTCACTTCACTCGCTGCCACGGCCGCGTTTGCGAAAGGAGCGGGGTGCTCAGACATGAAGAAGTAAGAATGGTGACCACTGTTCGCGCTCGTCCAGATGCATACTTGAGCGTTCATTTCGTACTTTTTTTCTTTTTGTTCGAGCAGCATGCTTTAACTATTGAGCTGCGGCAGTTGTTTGACCGCGCTCGTCAAGTGTATGCTCTTTTCGTGCGTGCTTTCTGTTTAAGGTGTGAGCTGCTTGCTGTTTTTCGTGTTCTTCGCGTGACTGCATGCAGCATTCGCCCTTCTGGTGAAACAATGTGCAATGAATGCTCCACCACCTCTGCGAGGACATGTTTCACTTTCGTGCTTTACCAATTTCTAAATAGGTGATGCAACAACGTTTTTTTTCTTTCATACAGGAAAGCTATTTCGTCAACACGCGACTGAAGAGAGGTTGGCGCATTGACCGAAGAAGAGGCCGAGGTGTTTCGAGTAAACAGAGGTGTGCTGATTCGTGGTCAGCGTGATTTTGTGAGTGACTAACTGGTGGAGCTGCTCAGTATACGTCTGCACTCTGAACCCCAGCAACTGGAAGCTCTGGACACCTGTTCAACTTAATGTGCAGTAGACAGCCTATGCAAAAGCTGACGGCTTCAAAGACTGCCTCCGGAGCATGGCCTGCAATATGTACCGCTGATGCCGGACACAACCACAAGTCAGACGCTAGAGTCTTACGATAATACAGGCACCTGCGTCACTGGTCCTCAACGCATCGCCCTTCACATGACCTTTCTATGGTTACCCTCTGAGAACGTCAAGGACTGGTTCGATGATTTCGATCGTATGGCCTATGTCAAGTGCTGGGACGAAAAAAAGAAGTATTGTTATTGGTATATTTCTCTGGAGCGCTTTGCTAAAACACAGTCAATCATGAGTCGTCTATCGCTGTACCTGACAGGAATTCTGATGGCAAATACACGATACATGACCTAACACTCTGTTTTCGCTAGAATTTACAGAACTCTTGTCTATCAAACTTACCATGGCTTTCTACTTTGGTCACAAGAAGCTATGTTATGTTTAGCATTTTCTGTTTTTAACTCAATTCGCAATATCAAAACATATGCTCTGATCAATTAGCCGCAGGAAACATCGCATGTCAGTGGTTTTTGCTGAAACTATTGAGTGGTGTTTATACAACTGCGCTCGGAATCAGTTTTAGAAACACCTAGCTGTAGTTCGTGTATATGATATGGCGATTTCAGTAACCCACGGTTCAGTAATGTATAACCCATGGGAAATGAAAAGCGATATTGTGCACACAGGTCTATGTAGCTATCATAGCTACAGAGTTCTGGGTGCAGAATAGGGCGTTTCATTACAATATACATAGCTAAGCGCTTCTGTATATCGAGCGTTGTTATATGGAACAATTAACCTCTAAATATAAATTCTTAAAATCTGCGTATTCACCGGAGGGCTGGCAATGATGCAATACTCAACAAAAACAAATGTAGGCCATCTTGAATTAGAACGTATCTATGATAGGCTAACACTTCAATGTATTACGGCGATGTAACCTTCAAAGAGCGCACTGCACAGCTCGATTGGAGCGCAAATTTCAGCCTAACACTGGTAGGTGCTTCAGGGAGCACGTTGGGAAAGAGCCTAGCCGGCAAAGTTATGGCTGCGCTTCTCAGCAAGTGCAAGTCATGAGAGCAACAGTAAAGACGCTTTCCTAGCACGACTTCTGCTTGCACAACGAGAAAAAAGCGCACGACAGGAATGGATGTTATGCAATGGTGAATCCGGTGTAACTTTCTTTATAAAGGTAAACGTTAAAAACTTATGCTATCGATGTGTAGAAAAGTATGCACAGAAATTTTGAGCAGTCATATATGTTTTATGTAACTGGTTCTTTACAGTTGCGTGATGATGCCAACAGCAACACAGCTATTACCAGCACTATAGAGGCGAAAAGCTGACGTGGCGCTTGCGCTTGGGATGATGGTAGCCTTTGC